CGCCGTGGCGAAGCCGGAGAATGCGCCTCGTAAAAGTCGCGCGAGGTATCGCCGTAAAGCGCCAAGTCAATGGACAGGAAGCCGCGCCATTCGGCGGCGATTAACGAGTGGGCGACGCGCTTTATTCCGAGCTGGCTGTCCCGGCGCCCAGCCGACGACGATGACGAACAAGCGGCGCGAAGGAAGCTCGTTCTGCAGCTGCGCGGTTTAATTGAGAGCTACTCGCGTTAAGCGTGCGCGCTGCGACGGAATTGCAATCTTCCGCTCTCCCTCGAGCTACTTGCAACTGTTCCTTCTTCCTTATTCTCTATATCTCGCTTCGTCGTCGTCGTCGTCGTCGTCGTCGTCGTCGTCGTCGTCGTCGGCGGCGGCGGCGGCGGCTTTTGCCAACAAAAACTCTCGTGCAGACAAGTGTAGCCGGAGTGCTTGGGAATTGAGCCGGTGAGTCGAGTCGGGCCGGGCCGGGCCGAGAGGTCAAGAGTCGATTTAGCAGAGCCGCTGTGTTCTTGCTGCTGCTTGCTCGCGCGGATAGAGCTCCGGCTGCATGTATATGCATGAGTATTATGCGCGGGGCTCTTCTCTATACTTTTCGCCGAATAAATCGCCGACGGCGCGGCGCCGCGAGATACTCGCATGCGTGGCCGTCCCGACGCGTTCGTTGGCGCAATTTCAGTCCATTCGATATTTAGCGCCGAACCTTTGTCAATTACACGGTCAACCGAGTGTCCATTATCGTGGACGCTGCTCCCTTCGCTCCGCTCCGCCATGTGACTACTGAGCGACAGACAGATTAGAGATATACATGCGCACGCGTCCCCGATCTCTCCAATAATTACCGCCGGCATTGCGCTGCGCTAGTCAATCAATTTCAGAGCGAATCCGCGGCGATTTCCTTCTACACTCGCTGGTATATTTCAATTGCCGACTAAAATCATAGATATGCCTAATGACGAGGATTGCCCCCCTCGGCCGCATGCGACTGCCAGCTAGAAAGGTGGTGAGGGAGGGGGGGGGGGGGGGGTCAACTGAATATCGATGAGCAGCGATTATGAGCATTGAACTATTTGTGGAGATTCGATACGTAATTATGGCTATTGACTTGAAGCAAATTCCCCTATTTACCTGCGCCCACCCCCTTCCACCGGTACATGCAGCCCATTCGATTATCCCTTGTGTGTTTTACATTAGATTCCAATTCCAATCCGGATCTCCTTGTTGAAGGGATTTATGCTCAAAGTGGCAGGGCTGGGCACTGCAAGCCCGCCGCTGCCGATTATTAACCAATCTATTGAACGAGCTACATGCCACGGACAAAGGCAGTACGAAGGGGGCTGGCTAATTGTTTTCAAATTTTATAAAATTCGATAATTTGCTTATCCATCGCACTGGTCTGGCTAAAACTTTACGACTGGAGCTTTTATCGGGAATAAGCAGCTACTTCCTCGAAAAGTGAATTTCTGCAAAGTTTATCTCCGCGATAAAAGAAGCCGTAAAAATAGCCGAGGACGAGCCGGGGGAGCGAGGCCGACGGGGAAAGAAAAAAAAAAGAACAAAACGAGTGTTTCGACTTCTTCTTCTTCTTCTTTGGCACAGTGCTCGCAAGTTGGAAGTCTGTATTTGATATCGCGACCATTCACGCATTGTCATACCGCTCGCCGCAGCCGCGTTGCCGCGCGAAGCCAAAACCTGCCTGATCGTATTTTCCGCGGCGAGAAAGAGCGCCGAGCGGGCGCGGGCTCATAATAAAATTTTTTAATATAAAGTCTGCAAACCACGGCAAAAGAGAAATAATGCGCCGCCTCTCGCTCGCGCGTTGCCCTCTTTGTGGCCCTGATATTGGTATTTTTATTTCAACCCCGCTGGCTTCCCCTGCGATCTCGTAATGCAAAAGATTCGTTAGCAATATTGTAGATGCGTTATTTGCCTTTCAGTGACGTGTGCATGTACGCGCGCCGTTAAATTGCACCTGTCCGCGTCGGAGGCGGCGCGCACGCAGGTCAGAGCAAAGCGCGGATGTGCATGCGCATTTTTTTTTTGTTTTCTCCTCATATTTACGCAAGCGCCTGTGCGCATCATGGCCTGCATCAGCATAATTTATTTTTCCTCAACGAGCAAACATTTGCGTTTTTACAACAAAACTCAAATTCCTCTCCCTCTCTCGTACACGTTTCCGTGTTGTCGGTTTTATTAACGATGCGAGGTCGCGGTCTCTTTTGTATCCAAATCTCTCGAAATCTGATAAGCAAGCAACATAAATCTCTCGATAAGCCTCAATTACACATCGTTTATCTGATAGAGACAGGATAAAATGAAACAGTCAATTCGGATATCATGCATGTATTATGAATGTAATTAAAAGTTCGTTAGTATGTACGCGCACGCGCTCGCCAACGACGAAATCCCATGGCAATACGATCAAGGTAAAGAATTACCGAATACTTTCGGTAAAAGTAATGCGTGATGTAAGCGATTGCATTTCCAAATCATTCGGCGAATAATTTAGCCAATCTCTATTGACAGAGAGGTCAAGTTGTCTTTCAATTGTCCGAGAAAAAAAAATAACGTAGGCGAACGTGGCGAGAGTCCCCATCGCTTCCTATATGCTCATAAAGTTACACGGAAGAAATGGCATGGCACTTGGTGGTTGTAAACACATAAAACGCGGTAAAAAGGGAAATTATATTTTCATTGAGCCGCTCGTGAAAAAGAGAAAAGCGTCCAATTAAGAGTTTACCGTTAATTGAGTTAATGTCGAAAGACGAGAGAGTGAGCGAGAGGGAAAGGGGGCACGGGCGCGTATTCAGCGTGAATAGCTTGCCAGAAGAGAAACCGTTGAAGAATAAAAGCGAAATGCGCGGAGCGGCATGAAAAAAATGCCGGGGAGGCCAAAGAGAAAGGAGAGGGAGAGAGAAAAAGCGCGAGGGGAAGCCCGGAAGAAAAGAGCGAAAAAGGGGTGAAATCGATGGAAATCTGTGCCGTCAACGCTGCGCTGCGCCTACGTCTCATGGAGAGAGAGAGAGAGAGAGAGAGAGAGAGAGCGAGAGTCTCTGAAAGCCGATTAGCCTGCCGCTGCGCCGCTGCTGCAGGCTGGCGTAATAAAAGGGCTGACCGGTAGCCGCTAAAAGGCGCGAAAAGTCCACTCGGCGATAATAAAAAACTGTGACGTGCCATTGTTTAGCTTCTTTCGCGGGGAAAACAATGGCCTCTCGGCCGTGGCCGTCGCCGCGCTGCTTCTGCGGCAGCTCGCTAATCGAAAAGCGCTTCCGCTCGCGTATTATTATACTCGTCATTCTGCTTTTTGTTTTTCGCTTGCACGTACACGCTTTTGCTTTGACTCATAACATTTGCGACCGGCGCTGCTTAAACAAAACGGGGCGAAAAAAAGGCCGAGCAAAGGAGAGCAAAACAAACGGCAACGGCGGCGAGCGGTCCGTGTTTTTGAAAACACGTTTCGCCGGGTGCGCGGCAAAAGAGGCCGGGTTCGTTAACCGCCTTCGCGCGAATGCTAAATGTGCTTTGCTTGCAAGCGATTCAGTGGCACGCGAACAGCACGTGGCCCGGTTCCCGTCGATTCCCCGCGAGCGCGGCGGCGGCGGCGCCGAGTCGCGGGCGAGAGGGCAAAAGCGGCCGATCGAGAAATCGCGCTGACGATAGATCGGTGGGCCCGGGCGGGCGTCGCTCGGCATGTAGTCTTTGCACAACTCTCCGGCGAGCCTCGCAAATTATTCATCGCGTGGCGCCGCGCGAGCCGGCCGTTTCGAAACTCGGGAGCGACTTACGTAAACAGCCCGAAAAAAAGAAACTCTTTTATTTGGCTTGCTTCTGTTGTTTTACGCAACGCTTAGCGGCCCGGCTTGCCAGAGGAACAATGGCGGTCGCGAGAGCCTCCTCCGCCGAGGTTTGCGCCTGCTGCACGGCCAGCTCGGTCGGTCGGACATTGGGCAACGGCGAAACCGCTCAAGGCGCTGCGCCTAACACTAGAAGCGACGTCTCGACTCGAGAAAGTTGCGTGGCTCTAGGTCACGTAATCTTTGCCAAGGTCGACGACGCCTAGCCGCGGCCTAGCCTCTGCTCCGGCAAAATTTATACGCCGCAAGCACCGAAATAAACGTCGCGAGCGTCTTGGTGCGTTTGGAACAAAATAAAAGCCCTGACCCGATCCTCTTTCCACCTCCGACTCGCAGTCGCTGTCGTCGCCGCATCTGTCAAAATTTGCAGAGAGTTACTCTCCAGGCTAAAGCACGCAGAAGAGGAAGTGAAAAAAGAGCAGGCCGATTGCTCAAAAACGCGAAAGAGAGAGGGGGAGAGAGAGAAAAAGAGCAGCTGCGAGCGGACGCGGGTAGTTAAATATTTAGAGCGCCACTAAAGAGTGGAGGGGATCGCGAGAAAGAGCAATGGAGAAGCAGCTATGCGCAGACGATCGTTTGAAAAAACACGCGCTCGCTAGATGATTGAAGGTTATCGCTACTGCATTTTTCGCCGATAAACGGCGAGATAGCGGGTTGCGAAGGAGGGACCGCCGCTGTCAGCTGATCCGCCAACGACGCACGCAGAGACGGAGCGAGGTCTCGAGTCTGGTCGTCGCGCGCGACATCCGTGACGCTGCTTCACTTGGCCAGCTCGTCTTTCGTGATTTGTGCCTCGGCGCTCCGCGCGTCTATCCGTGTGCAGCGCTCGGCCTCGTGCCTCTCCGCGTTTTTCCCGGCTAATCTTTCGCGACGGATCGATTTCGCAAGTGGTCTCAGCAGCGGACCTCTGCGAGTCGTCGGCTCCGTTTGACGCTCTCGCGGGCGCGCGGCTAGCAGACGACGTCGCCGATCGAGGCGCAAAAACGACGAGTTTTTGTCTATGTGCCGCGCGTAATCGAGCGATAAGGAGAGCCGCGCGCTACCGCGGCGTCGCAAAAATAGCCGTGCCGCCTCGGGAGACGGGGCAAAAAGCGCGGCGGCGACGGGCCAGTCCGTTACGCAAAGGAGGCTGCGCGGCGGCAGTGCACTGACCTTGAGGAGCGGTCCAGCTTCGTTGGGGCGCGGCAGGTCCACTGCTGAATGGTGCCGGGCTGCCGCCTGCGTCTGGGCTGCCGGTGTCTGGCCACGAGGAGGCGAGGCGCTCTCGCGCAGGGCTGCTCGGGCCGCCGCGAGACCTGGACCTCGAGGGGCCGGAGCTTGGGCACGAGTGGCTCGGCGCCGGGCGAGCCCGCGATCGGGCTGGGCGCGGAGGCGCAGCAGTCGGCTCGGGACGAGTGGCGCGGACCGAGCAGCTGGCGCTGGTGGCGGGCGATGTTGTCGACGTGGAGCCGGGCCGGGGCGAGCCGCCCGAGGGCCTGGCGCAGCCACGAGTAGAGCGAGCACGCGGCCGCCGACCAGACGAAGCGCACGAGCAGCAGGTGCACGAGGAAGTAGAGGAGCTCGCGGGCGCTGTTCACGGGCCCGGGCCAGGGGCCGCCGCCGCCGCCGCCGCCGCTGCCGCTGCCGCTGCCGCCGTCGCTGCCGCTGCCGCTGCCGCCGTCGCCGTCGCCGTCGCCGTCGCCGCCGCCGCAGCCGCAGCCGCCGCCGCCGCCCGCCTGTCGGCCGGCTCTGTGCCTGGCCGCCTGCTGCTGCTGCTGCTGGCGCTGGCGCTGCACCCTGCCGCCGCCGGGCGTCGACGCCGACCTCCGCTGATGCTGCAGCGCGAGCCGCTCACTAGCTGCCCCGAGGCCGCCCTCTTGCGCCTTCGCATTCGCCTGCGCCGCGCACGCCGATTGCAGCCGGCCGCCGATCGTCGCTATCGTCGCTACCGCCGCTACCACCTTGGCCTTGGCGCGCTCCTGCACGACGCACGGCGCACTGGGCCCCGACCGTTGCTCGCCGCGCTCTGGACGGACTCGGACTGTCGCAGTGTCCGCGAGTGCACTCGCGCGGCTCGCAACGAAGCGCGACGACGCTCGGAGCGCCTGGGAGTAGAGCCGCCTACGACGAGCGCGCACTCGCACTGCACTGCTCGCGCGACCAATTTTCGCGGCCGCTCGCTCGCACTCAGTGCTGTCTCCCTCCGAAGCGCGCGCGCACTTGGCGACACATGCACGCGCGGCCGAGCCGGGCTGCTCACGGACGAGTAGCTGCCACCGCTGAACTGAGCCGCTGTCTGCCTCTGCCGCTCTCGTTCGCTCACACCAATGTGATGCCTGCGCCCGCTTCCACGAGGACCGGAGGCACGCGCTCTCGCCTCGCGCCGGCGTACTGCGCCTCGGCCCGACCCCCGTCGACCTGCGCGCGCCCGCCGGCGCCGGTGCGGTCGGTTCCCCGAAGCTCCAAGCCGAACTCCTTTGTCTCGGCCCCCGGCGTCGCGCGCTGCGGTAACGCCGTGCCCACGGTTCTCATCACCGCACTGTTACCGGTCGCGCGATATCCTCGGTCGGCAATCTGGCTTTCTGCATTGGCGCTCCAGGGTACTGCGACCGCATCGACTCGCGCTTCGCAGTGGATCCGCCAGGTAGCAGTAGGCGCCGATAAAAATGCGACCGAACGATCGGCCTGCTTTAAAAATGTTCCTAGTGCGATGTACTGTCTCGAGCGCGCGGTTTACCGAGAAACCGACAATCGTCAGATAAACACAATTGGTGTTGCTTTTCCTTCATCGATAAGATATTTTCCGAGTCAAGCTGATGTACGCGTAGATCAGGCCAAGTTGCACATTAGAAATTTTACTTGCCGAACTACCTTCGTAAATACGACTTTTCGCGCATCAATAAAAGCAGCATTCTTTGTTTTTCCATGTATCAATCAAGAGCGCAATTTAATATCAATTTTTGTCCATATAACGTCCGTCTTATGAAAAGGCTTCGATAGCGAAGTCGATTCGACGCTGTTATTCGAGCAGCAAAAGTATTTTTCCGATCTCAATGTTGCTTTCTTTTGCATTGCGAAAAAGTGTTTTGGATTTTTATGTATAAATTATTTATGAGTAAATATCTCGTGCAAGCGTGTAAAAAGAAAAACGATCGTCACGAAAGGAAACTTAACCGATGCAGGTCGCTGTGGTTTTTAAGGTACATTTGATTCTGTTTTGACTCGCCGTCAAGATGATGACTTACAAGTTAACCAATAGCTGCAGTCAGCAACGAGTAAAGAGCACGATTGTTCGAGGTTGTTTAGCAATCGAGAACACTATCGGATCCGGGAACTTCAGGACCTTTAGACATAACAACGCTGGCTTCCAGTCCTTTATAGCCATCTCCCTCTCCCCCCTCCTCTTTTAACGTTCTCTTTTTTTCCACTCTCCTTTGTGCTCCATCTTTCATTCTATTTTTTGCCTTTGTAGCAGACTCCATTTTACAATCTTTTGCTCCTGCTGCTGAAGTAATTACCGACAAAAAGTTTTCAGATGTCTAAAAAAAATTATGTTCCGTAAGAACGCTTGGGCGCTCTTCGATTCGGAATACCGTTACTATCTTGAAAACATTATTTATAATTTGAACAGAAGGATTTGTCATGCGAGAATGTTGGATGTCCACGACGTACAATTATTATGTTGCAGTATCGATAAGCGAAATATACATTAAGAAACATTGGTTCTCGATTGTTTACGTTTGAAATAAGATCAAGCCTGATTTTCTCGGAACGCTAAATGACAAAGAAGGCCACCTGTATCCAAAGCACTGTGCGATATAACACATTTCGCTCATATGCATTTGACCATGAAATTGTGATAACATTGAATCAGCAATACACATTATTCCACGTATACATCGGGCATTATTAAATGGCAAAGACATAATGGGCCAACTGTGTCGTCTGCGTCCTCCAACGATTCTACGAAATAAAGCGCAGGCCGCAGATTATCAATGCCAGTGTAATCGGTCGATACCAAATAACAAGAAAAAAAAGAACAGAATGGTATTTTTCCGGAGTGTGCGTGCGAGCGTGTGTGCTCGTGAAACAATAAAAAGAGATTTGATAAGTAATAAGGGAGAGAAGCCGCGAGTGACACGCGACAGAAGGCCGGACGATTAAAAAGTGAGCAAGTAGCTCCGTCATCCGTGATCGATCGCTGTCGTTTCTGCCGGAGCGATGATCGGGCACCTCGCTAGCCGCTTCCCTTGGCCAATAAATCGACTTATCGCAGCATCTATATACATAGTGCGCGCGGGGCAAAGATAGCGCTCGCGCGCCCAAGCCCGTCAAAAGAAAAAAAAGCCAGCAAGAAGGAGGACGGACGATGGTCATTTCTGGGCGAAGTGTCCCGGCGATCCCCGACGCAGATACCGGACACGCTAAGCTCCCCGCAGCCAAGGAGACACTGACTATGTATACTACCCTCATACCGGCGAGATTCCTCGTTACGTGGCCCTCGACAAATCTGATAATGCCTTTTTTTTCTCCTTTCTTTCTTTCCTCCTTTCTTTTTTTCTTTCGTTCGTCGCCGTTTTTTTCTTTTTTTTCGCCCGTTCATTCGCCGAGTATATATATAAAAAAGGAGAGTTCCTACGTAACATCGATCAGTGCCCGAGACTCATGACTTAACGATCCTTGCTTTGCCGCCCCCTCTCGAGTCACCGATGTGATTGCGGCCTTTTATTCCAAGCGGTGTGACTGCTAAAACGAATGTGCTGTCTGTTGCGGACGGTCGCGGCTCATTTACGAGAATGAAATAGCCGTGCCCCACACAAGTCTTAATTGTCACGAAAATGAGAAGAACGAACGCAGCGATGCGTCGATGAGAAAGTTGAGCAAGATCCGCGAGTGGCGGGTTGTTCTCGTCGATCGGTCGAACGAAACTGCGGCCACTGCCCGCGTCCAGCGAGCGAGCATCGCCATTTACGATTGTTTCGAGGAGACGCGACGAGGCGGCAGAAAGCACGCTGTGCAGCTGAACGTCGAGGAAAAGCGAGATGAGCGAGGGCAGTCGGGAGAAGTCTGCAGCGGTGGCGAACGTAGCTGGGCGCGCTGTCGGCGAGGAGCGGCCGGCGGGCGTCCGTTGATAAGCGGTATAAAGGCGCTCGGCTCTCACGGCCGAGTTGACGTGAGGTGCAGCTCGCGAGCAGCTAGCCGGCGCACATAATGCCGCGCTATCACATGAGACACGGCGACATGCCACCTAGATCGCCGCGCCGAGATATCGCGCCGCCTCGTATTTATGGCCAGCGAGATTTCGCATTATTAGGGCCGTTTACCGCATTTTCGCTGCCCGGCCGACCTCCTCGCCTCCTGCCGTGCTCAGCCCCGTAATATCACGTGCCCCTCACTATAATTCTCGCGCGCGCTGTCGTGCGCCTTATATGCCTTGCACGCTCGCCTCCGTGCCGCCGTCGAGCCGAGCCGCCTCGCCGCTTTTTTCCGCCCCCTGGCTCTAGCTTCCGCTCTATCGCGCCAGATATACATTGGCTCTGAGCTTGAAAGCCGCTCCGATTGAGCGAGCTTCGCCAATGTGTCTATTTACCCGGGCCCGGGATGCTGTCTTTCTCGGCCTCCCATGGCATCGACTGTCGTCGTCGTCGTCGTCGTCGTCGTCGTCGACCACGCCGCGTCGCGTCAGCTGGCTCCGCACGGCCTGTGTACGTGTAACGTACATAGCGGAGAATGGACGACGCACCGCGAGCTGGCATCGATCGGACGACCCTTGTTTGATGTTTGCATTTCATGAATTTTCTAGACAGTTCAGTAGTCGTCCGTGGCCGCGGCTAATAAGCGCGGGAACACGCCCTTGTGTAAAAAGACGACGGGACACGCTCGCAAGCCGATTGCTCTCTTTCTCTGACCCTCTCGTTTACTTTGATCGCTTTCGATTCATCCTTCAAACTCGTCGCTCGTTATCTGTAATGACAGGCATAAACGCGTTCGAGGCCGCCTACTTCAGCGCGCAAAGGCAATTCCGCTCGATTTTTGCAAAATAGTGCAGCAACTCGAAAGAAATGACGTACGGCATTAGCTCGTTAGCTCGCAGTGAATAAAAGTGGCATGTATCGGCTGCGAAAGGCTAGTACCTGTAAATACTGTAGGTGACATATTCACAAGTTGTTCGGGCAGGAAAGGGAGGGCGAAGTGTCCGAGAGCGGAATGCGAGCGAGCAATCGAGAATTCGCGGGCTGCTCGGGAGGTGGAATCCGTTTCCGCCTATCTCGGCGCTGCCGGGAGCCGACTGGTTGAACATTCGTCTCGCTGGCGCAGTCGGCATCGCGAGCACGAGTGGCGGCAGTGGCGAGAGGGTGCGCGTTTCTCATCCGTCGTCGTCCGTCGTCGTCCGGGGGCATTCGGGAACGCGACTCGACATTTCCGAGTCTCCGAAGCGGGGCCTATTGTTCCCTCTTCTCCTCCGTCTGGCTTCCTCTCTTGCTCTCCGCTGCGTATACACACGAGCGCTGTGGTGCACCTACGCCGAGCCCGCGCGCCCTTGCAGCTCTTTCGCGCGCGTTACGGGCCTTCTCCCGTCGCGGCGATCGATTCGCAGCCGCGGATGCGCGCTGCATTACATCCTCGCGTGCGCCTCGCAACGGCTCAATTGCGTAACGCGTCTCGCCGCCGAGAAGCTGCGCAGTCGGGCTCGAGCCGAGCGTTACGCAAAGAGCGCCTCGCGGTACTCGCTTGGCTCCGTAAACGTTGCGCCCTCGCGAGCTAAGTTGGTCAACCGGATTCAACTGGTCGCCGGGACTGAGGCGAGAGCTTGCGACCGCAATGCGGCAGCGGCAATAAATCCATCGCACGGGCACGCGGCGAGGGTGCGAGCTTGGCTGGCCCTCGACGACAATGCGCTCGCGGCATTCCAGGCACGTACCACCTCGGACTCTCCCGCCTTCTCTCTCCCTGGGCAATGACCAGCCGCCGCTTTCGCCCAGGACATTCTTTATTGTTTCAATAAGCCCCGGCTCCGTGTCCTTATTAACGAAATAAACCTCTTTAACGAGCGCGCGCAAGCTCTGCCTTGTCGGGCTTTGGCGCGAGACGCGCCGCCGCTCACGCGGCTGCCAGGGCCGCGGGGAAGAGGAGAGCGAGAGGAAAAAAAGAGCTGCGCGCCGCGAGGGAAAGAGATTCAAATGGAAAAGTGAGAGAACGAGAGAAGGGAGGATCGCCGAGGAGCAGTCGAGGGCTGAGGGGATTCTTGAAAGAGTTCTCTTTCGAGAGCGCGGAGCTGCGGAGTGCGAAGGGAGAATCGATAGGTTTTTCCGTGGGCGCAAGCTCCCGGGTTTCCATGGAGACCGCGCGCGAGCACAGCGGCACACGGCCGCTCACGGGCGTATATACGCCGATGCGGATGTCTAAGAGCGATAAGT